GGAAAGCGGGGTGGGGGGGGTTCTGGGACATGGAGATTGGTTTCTGGAACCAGGAAGCATCAGAGATCTCACAGTGATGGACGTGGCAGAATAAAAGGTGCCAAAGTGAGATTGTTTTTCCCGGTTTTGCAACATTTAAAAAGCAGTCTCGGGACGCCCGGGTGGCTCAGTCGGTTAAGTGTCGGACTCTCGATTTCAGCTCAGGCCGTGATCTCACAGTTCTGAGACTGAGCCCCGCGTCAGGCTCTGTGCTGAAAGCGTGGAGCCTGCTTGGGACCCTCTCTCCCCCTCTTTCCACCCCTCCTCTGCTCAGGTTCTGCCTCTCTCTCTCATGATAAACAAATTTTTAAAAAACAAACAAGAAATCTGGAGTCTCCAGCTTGTACACAGGGGATGGGACCACACATGCAAACGAAATCTGTACGTGAATGTTCACGACAGCAGCATTTGTAAGAGCTCGATGGTGCAGAAAACCCAGTCAGCTTGATCACAAATGAACACAGCGGTCCATCCACACAGTGGAATATTATTCAGCCACAAAAAGGAGGGAAATACTGGCACCTGCTATGTGGATCCCCTCTGAAAACGCTGTGGTAAATGAGAGAAGGCACTCGTGAAAGGACACGTGTACGTGACGTGCCCGGGACAGGCGAATCCAGACAGAAGCACGTCAGTGGTGGCCCAGGGGCTGGTGGCTGCTAAATGTTACGGGGCTTCCTTTTGGGGTGCCGAAGACGTTCTAAAATTCACTGTGCCGAAGCTGGACCGTGAATACCGTGAAACCAGAGATGTGCGCTTCAAGTGAGTAAGGTACATAAGGTGCAGGGGTGCCTGGGGGGCTCAGCTGGTCGAGTGTCTGACTTTGGCTCCGGTCACGATCTCACGGCTCGTGAGTTTGAGCCTCGCGTCGGGCTCTGTGCTGACGGCACGGAACCTGCTCGGGATTCTCCCTCTCTGCCTCTCTCCCCTGCTCACTCTCTGTCTCTCTCACCGTAAACTTAAAAACAAAAACAAAAACTGCACACAAACGGGACTAGAGATCATTTAAAAACATCCCTACTTTGTTCATCTGTTTTCATGAATTCTATGTTGTGGCTGACTTGGCCCGCGGCAACTATGCATGTAGTAAAGTGGTCAGTTACAGTCTCTCCTTTATACAAATCACGAGACCGTTCTAGGTCATTTAAAAGTTGAAACAAAACAGAAGTAACTCAAACGACTTGCCCACCAGCTGTTTCCTAGACTTCAAGAATCTACTCCCCACCCGTGACCCCCCAAAAACAGTCCACCACCACACCCTGAATGGCTTCCAGAAAGTGAGAGCCAGATTCACACCTACATACAGGTGATCAGAGACTTCCTACCTGGAGAAACTCACCAAATCAGGGGGACTTGGGGGAGCAGATCTGTACTCCTGGGGGCCTCTGGGCACCGGTCAGCAAAAGGGACCACGCGCTGGGGTGCCTACGGCTCCCCGGGGGCGTGTCCCCGACCACAGAGGATTCCGCCAGCCCCAGGAGCCACTCGAGGGCCTCCTGCTCCGCTCCACCCCACTCACCCGGCCGGTGCAACTAAGAACCGTGGCAATGCCCACCCGGTGTCCAGTGGAAGCCCGCTCAGGGAGCAAACTGGGAAGAGCCTCCGTGGGTCCCGCTAGGCAGGGAGCTCCCGGGTGAGCTGTTAAGCGACAGCGGGAAAGCAGGAGAACGTGTGGTGCTCAGAAGTAAACTCACAAGTTGCCTGAGAGGACAGGGTGAGAAATTAGGCATCGGCCCTAACGTCAAGCAGGTAAGACTACTCAAGGCACGTTCAGGACCCCAGGACCCCAGGACCCTGCCGGACACGCGCTGGTCTTACTTTCGTTCCGCATCTTATCGAAGTAAGACAACTTGGAGGCAGCGTAAATGGCACCAGGCGACTGCAGCGTGCCAACAACGGCGTCCATCAGCAAGACGTGGGTCAGCGCCTGCTGGATGTACTGAGGGTCCTGCAGAGAAACACGCTCACGTCAACGGTCACGGAAGTCACTGACTTTGTGACGTTACGCAAGACGACACTTCTGAAGACGCGTTGTTGTTTCAAGGCGACGGGAACAGTTCGGATTCGGGTCTGATGTCGCACCCCTTTCTGCCTCTCAGGTGCGACAGACACTGCTCGTTTACCCCGGGGGCCCGGCCGCTGTGGGCCTTCCAGCCTCTGTCACAACCACTTGGCTCGGTGCTGCAGCTGGAAAGCAGCCACAGGCTGTCGTAAACGAGTGGGTGTGGACGTACGCCCATAAAACCTTCCTCACAGAGACAGCCATGGCCCACGGGCTTCAGTTTGTACTGGCCTGTGCCAAATAAACCAGTGGGCATAAAATCAGACGGCTGGTCCGAAAGTCAGAGCGTTACAACCTCAGAACGGACCTGGCCCTCCTTCCTGCCGCAGACGGAAAGACTCCCTCCGTGTTCACGGTCTCGGCCCCCCACCCCCCCGGTGCCTGGGAGCTTCTCTCCCAGAGGGCAGCGCCCCCCTCATGGACAGTCTGCTCTGGGGGGGCGCCCGCAGTCCCTGTGACGATCGTGGGCTGTGCCGCCCCCTGCGGCCCCTCCACGGCCCCGTTCATCTCTGCCCACTGCATTGTGGTTTTCCTGTCCTTTCCTGCCATCTACACAGCACAGACCTCTTGTCCCCGTGTGTCCTCCGTCTGTGCCTCTGTCTGTGCTGTTCTTCGTGACCCTGAAGTCCTACCTCGGTGTGAGCAAAGCTACCAATCTGGCCCAAAGTAAGTGAAAACACAAAACTCCCTGGGCTGTAAAGTTAAGTCTGCGGGGGTTGGGGAGGGGGGTGGGGGGGGCTCCACGTGCCCCCTACCAAGACCCTAGTCCTGAGAAGTGGCGGGGGGTGGGGGCAGGTCGTCAGGAGCAAGGCGGGCCCGGAAGACCCGACTCGGACCTACGTCTAGCCCCAGCCCCTCCACGGCGGCCCCTCCACACTGGCCAGTCGCCGGGTCACGCAAACCACAGCATCCGACCCAACCGGTGCTCCTGGGACCGCGCCTGAGCCCCTGGGCGTTAACACGGCCGTGCAAGGAGCAGGCGGCCCAGCCCCGGACCTTGTGGTCATCGGCCAGTTTCTTCCCGGCCCACATCTCCTTCACCATCAAGTGCCACACGTCACACTCCGTCTTAAGATTAGCTTCAAAGACTTCTTTCTTGGATGCCGTCTTAATCTTCAAAGTGGGTATTCGCAGAAGCAGAAAGGCTACTGTGGTACTTCTGACTTCCTAAGGAGGCAGAAAAAAGAAGAGGCTGGTCAGTGAGATGTCCCCTCCCAGGAACGCTGGGGTCAGGGAGGGGAGCCGGCGGAGCGGACGTTACAGAGTGGCGGCCGGAAGGTCCCTGCTGTCCTGTCCCTGCGCTCAGGGCTGAGGACACCTGCCGGCTGAAGGTCGGCCTGGGGGCGGGGAGGGGGGCAGAGCTGGGACAGGGCAGGAGCGGAGCAGGGAGGCCCTGAGGTGACCGGAGGCTGGCGTCTGAGAGTTCGCGAGCCACAGGCGTGACCTGTCAGCACATCACACGTGCACACGAAGGGACTCGTCTGCAGGTTCACACGTGGTCCGTTCTGCCTCCTTACGAGCTTCTCATTCCCTGCCATTCCGGGAGGAAGTCTGTGGAGGCAGGTGGCGGCTGGAGGACAGACAGAGGCGGGGCCCACGGCCGGCACCCACCACGGCTGCCTCTCCTGGCGCGGGACGGTTCGGGAGCGGGATCAACACGTGTCACGAGCCTCTCGAAAATACACGTGAGACGTCAGATGAGCGCCACTGAGCATCCCCGTGGGGGAGGCGACCACCTTTACGACCAAGGGGCACTCACAGCTAGCAAACAGCAGGGGCTGGCGGGCCGTGCTCTCACCTCTATGTCCCTGAAGGTGGAGATCTCCACGTAGCCCGGCCTTCCTTCGGTTAGGAGGAACAGGCGCTTCTGGGTCATGGCGATCTTGCCCACGCCGCGATTTGTCTTGACCGAGCTCGACAGCTTGTAGACACACTCGTTCTTATCCAGGTGTTCCATCACCGACGAAGGCAGACTGACCTCCTGGGCCTCCGCCTCGGCCTCCTTCCAGCAGTTGTAGAAATCTTTGAATGTTTCCGGGTCAATCTGTTTCTGGTGTCCTTTGTTTGGTAAAGAAAAGAGATCTCAGGGCCACTCCGCGAAGGCGAGTGCGGCCAGGACTTTGACTTCCCCTTAAGAAGCCGTGCACTACCCACACCGGGCAGCAGGTGGCGCCGGCACGCAGGTCTCCGAGCCCCAGGGCCCTTGCTAAGGCGGCCCATCGCCCTCTCCAGCCCCCCAGCCCAGGGATGGGGCCTGCCAGGTGGTCACAGCAACTCTCGGGACGCCCTTCTTCAGGTGGCAAAGCCCCGGGTCACCACTAGAACTGGCGGCAGCTATCCCGGGGCCCGGGGGGAGCCAGTCCTCAGACAAAACGAACACAAAGAGACCAGGTCCTTGGTGATGTGCCCACACCACAGGATCAAGCCTGGCCTGAAGCAGCCCCATCTCAGTCACGTGAGCAAATACATTTGATGATTCGTAACCAAGATGAACTCAAGTGACGTAGTAACCTTTCTAAATGTCCACCGTTCACGGGCTCCAGAGGCAGAGAGAGACCCGAGTCTGGAGCCCAGCTCCGGGGGCTGGTGCTGTGATGCTAAGCTGTCAAAGGAGGGTGCTTGCTTCTCTGCAGGGTGGAAATGGGGCCCCCCACCCCCACTCCACCCAGGCTGCTAAGAGGCCGGGTCCGTTCTCATCCTGAGGTGTTCCTGGGGCTGTTCCTGCCCCGCTGCGTTCGGCCCCGGCGCCGCATCCTGGACCTGCACGTTCCCCTCTGCCCTCGCGCCCTGCAGAGGCACGAGCTGCCACAGGCCCTGCCTCCAGAGCTGCCCCCGGCCTCGCGGCCTGCTTCCCTGGGCGCCCAGCACGCCCTACGGCGCGAGGAGCAGCTCCGTGTCTCTTGTTCAAACACTCCGGCGTTCCTCGCCTACGCCAGACCCCAAGTTCCTCCGGGCTTGGGCCCCTCCTCCCCTTCCCGCCCCCACGTTCCAGTCATACCCGCCTATTTCCCCAAACGGGCCCTGTCTGCACACGCTGCTCCAGGGTGCTCGGAACAGAAAATTCCTACGTGTGCTTCAAGACCCGGCTGAAACGTCTCACGCGCTCCCGTCCCTGAGAAGGCAGTCATTTGGCCGGGCAGCTGCCGGGCCGCACGCCCATCCCTCCACGGCAGGGCCGCGCTTAATGGCACTTGCCATGTCCCACCTCCCGTTTTATCCTTCCGGCCACCTCAGGAGGCAGGCACTGGTCTCAGGCCGTTCACAAATCGGGAAACTGAGGCATGGGAGGAGAGCCCTCGCTGGCAGAGGTCAGCGTGGGGCCGGGACCCGTGGCCAGGCCAATGCCACCCGGCCTTGTGTGTTGGCCGCCGTGCCTCCTGCCGATGCCCCACTCGGGAGCGCAGAGAACGTGTCCTCCCTGGCCGGCCCCGCCGGGGGCCTGATCTGAAGTGGACAAAAGACGTGGGCAAGCGCGAGAGCCCCCGCACAACCATGTCCCTCTCCGGCTCCGTAACAGCGTCAGGGTGACGGTCCCCGGGGAATATGATGGGGCGGGGGGAGGGGCGGTCCAGGCCCCGGCACACACTGAGAACTGCTGATGTCACCGGAACCGAGACCTGGAACGTCAGACCCTCACACCCCCGCGAGGTGCGGGTGCCGGAATATTCAGGAGACCAACGCCGCTGGGAGGCAGGGCTCTGCCCGGGCTGACTGTTCTTCCCTTTGCTCATCGCTATTTTCCGATCGGCCCACGAGGGTTGGTACCACTCACGTATGTGTTCCAAATCTTATAGCCACTGGATCCAGACAACAAGACAGCAGGGATCTGTACGTGCTTGTGTAATTTTCAAAAAAGACATCACTGAAGCAAACGAACCACAAGGTACCCACGTGTCCCCAGGCAGCCGGGGGCTGGAGGTCTCTGCCTGGGCCGTGGCTGCTGACCGCGCAAAACTGCCCACGGTCCTGCTTCCGCTGCAGGCTCAGTGCGGCCGCCTCTGGGACACATGGGTCTACACTGCCCGCTGCTTCTGAGCACCGTCATCAGACGCATTTGCTGTTCTCACTGCACGTCAGAAAACACTGAGTGCAAGCAGCTGAGCAAGGAACCCATTACTTTACAAAAGACTCCTGAACCTCGGGAGCCTGGGGCCAAGGGCCCTCTTCCTTCCATCACTCAGGACACATCTTCCTGCTGTCCGGGCCCCAGCCGAGTCGCTGAGCCACGTGGCGCAAAGTGCGCATCACCAGAACCCGGAACGGCTTCCTCTCGCGGACAGACGTGGCGCCAGGGCTCCACGACAGTCTCCGGAACCCCGACCGCCGGAGGGCAGAGAGCCCAGGCGGCTCCAACCCTCCTTGGACACCATGCCCTCCAGGGCTGTGGCACCACTGGACGCTCACACCCTGGCTGCCGCGCACATCTGTGAACTCCACGCACACCCACCGTGCACACCCTGGCCGCCACGAGCTCCCGTGGCTACTGCACGCGCCCACGCAACAGGTCACGCGTTCTCTCTGTCTCCAGTTCCGCACAGAAGTGCCAACTGCTCACTCCTGTGCCCTCACCCACATGCATCTCCCGGTGGAGGCGGCCACCGGAGCCCAAGCTCCCGCACAGCCGAGCTGAAGGCGGCACACATCAGCCTCCCTGCCCCGGGCCCCTCAGGAGCAGCTGCTGCGGTGTGGAAGTTACTGGTCTTGCAGTATGAACACCACACTGGAAACGTCTACTAAAGTCGAACGATAAAATAGTGACAATAACCTAAACAAAGTCTCAGATGTATCGTTAAACTGCACGAGTTCATTCCAAGACAGCAACATCCAGCTCGGACTTAATAAAGCTTTTCTTTTTTTTTTTTT